TTTTTAATTCTAATTTATATCAACGGTCTCACAGCCTCATTGGCATTTCTATAGCTGTTTACCATAACCTCTTTCCCAGTAACAATCCAGATATCAGTTCGTTCAAATCGTTGCGGAACTACATGTACTTCTCTTTATTTATTGTTCAAAATGTTATCATGCTAAATGTTCATGCATTATGTACCACTGCACATTAGGGAGACATGTCAAGATCCCCATTTAATCTGTGTAAAATTTAAAATGATGTTGCAACAGCGCAATATTTACTAGGAATGAATATAGATGTACAATTTGACTTATAATGCAAATTTATATTTAAAAATGTAGCTTTGAAAATTTCCTAAAAGTATGCAACAAAGGAAACTTCAACAAGACTCCCTAATAAGCATTATAATGGGTTGGTTATGGTATAGTTTATATAATAATGGGTTGGTTATGGTATAGTTTATATAATAATGGGTTGGTTAGGGTATAGTTTATATAATAATGGGTTGGTTATGGTGTAGTTTATATAATAATGGGTAGGTTATGGTATAGTTTATATAATAATGGGTTGGTTAGGGTATAGTTTATATAATAATGGGTTGGTTATGGTATAGTTTATGTAATAATGGGTTGGTTATGGTATAGTTTATATAATAATGGGTTGGTTAGGGTATAGTTTATATAATAATGGGTTGGTTAGGGTATAGTTTATATAATAATGGGTTGGTTAGGGTATAGTTTATATAATAATGGGTTGGTTATGGTATAGTTTATATAATAATGGGTAGGTTATGGTATAGTTTATACAATAATGGGTTGGTTATGGTATAGTTTATGTAATAATGGGTTGGTTATGGTATAGTTTATGTAATAATGGGTTGGTTATGGTATAGTTTATATAATAATGGGTTGGTTAGGGTATAGTTTATATAATAATGGGTTGGTTAGGGTATAGTTTATATAATAATGGGTTGGTTATGGTATAGTTTATGTAATAATGGGTTGGTTATGGTATAGTTTATATAATAATGGGTTGGTTAGGGTATAGTTTATATAATAATGGGTTGGTTAGGGTATAGTTTATATAATAATGGGTTGGTTAGGGTATAGTTTATATAATAATGGGTTGGTTATGGTATAGTTTATATAATAATGGGTAGGTTATGGTATAGTTTATACAATAATGGGTTGGTTATGGTATAGTTTAGATAATAATGGGTTGGTTATGGTGTAGTTTATATATTAATGGGTTGGTTATGGTATAGTTTATATAATAATGGGTTGGTTAGGGTATAGTTTATATATTAATGGGTTGGTTAGGGTATAGTTTATGTAATAATGGGTTGGTTAGGGTGTAGTTTATATAATAATGGGTTGGTTATGGTATAGTTTATATAATAATGGGTTGGTTGTGGTATAGTTTATATAATAATGGGTTGGTTATGGTATAGTTTATATAATAATAGGTTGGTTATGGTATAGTTTATATAATAATGGGTTGGTTATGGTATAGTTTATGTAATAATTGGTTGGTTATGGTATAGTTTATATAATAATGGGTTGGTTATGGTATAGTTTATATAACAATGGGTTGGTTATGGTATAGTTTATATAACAATGGGTTGGTTATGGTATAGTTTATATATTAATGGGTTGGTTATGGTATAGTTTATGTAATAATGGGTTGGTTAGGGTGTAGTTTATATAATAATGGGTTGGTTATGGTATAGTTTATATAATAATGGGTTGGTTAGGGTATAGTTTATGTAATAATGGGTTGGTTATGGTATAGTTTATATAATAATGGGTAGGTTATGGTATAGTTTATACAATAATGGGTTGGTTATGGTATAGTTTAGATAATAATGGGTTGGTTATGGTATAGTTTAGATAATAATGGGTTGGTTATGGTATAGTTTATGTAATAATGGGTTGGTTATGGTATAGTTTATATATTAATGGGTTGGTTAGGGTATAGTTTATATAATAATGGGTTGGTTATGGTATAGTTTATATAATAATGGGTTGGTTAGGGTATAGTTTATGTAATAATGGGTTGGTTATGGTGTAGTTTATATATTAATGGGTTGGTTAGGGTATAGTTTATATAATAATGGGTTGGTTATGGTATAGTTTATATAATAATGGGTTGGTTATGGTATAGTTTATGTAATAATGGGTTGGTTATGGTATAGTTTATATATTAATGGGTTGGTTAGGGTATAGTTTATATAATAATGGGTTGGTTATGGTATAGTTTATATAATAATGGGTTGGTTAGGGTATAGTTTATGTAATAATGGGTTGGTTATGGTATAGTTTATATAATAATGGGTAGGTTATGGTATAGTTTATACAATAATGGGTTGGTTATGGTATAGTTTAGATAATAATGGGTTGGTTATGGTGTAGTTTATATATTAATGGGTTGGTTAGGGTATAGTTTATGTAATAATGGGTTGGTTATGGTGTAGTTTATATATTAATGGGTTGGTTAGGGTATAGTTTATATAATAATGGGTTGGTTATGGTATAGTTTATATAATAATGGGTTGGTTATGGTATAGTTTATGTAATAATGGGTTGGTTATGGTATAGTTTATATAATAATGGGTTGGTTAGGGTATAGTTTATATAATAATGGGTTGGTTATGGTATAGTTTATATAATAATGGGTTGGTTATGGTATAGTTTATGTAATAATGGGTTGGTTATGGTGTAGTTTATATATTAATGGGTTGGTTAGGGTATAGTTTATATAATAATGGGTTGGTTATGGTATAGTTTATATAATAATGGGTTGGTTAGGGTATAGTTTATATAATAATGGGTTGGTTAGGGTATAGTTTATATAATAATGGGTTGGTTATGGTATAGTTTATGTAATAATGGGTTGGTTATGGTATAGTTTATATAACAATGGGTTGGTTATGGTATAGTTTATGTAATAATGGGTTGGTTAGGGTATAGTTTATATAATAATGGGTTGGTTGTGGTATAGTTTATGTAATAATGGGTTGGTTAGGGTATAGTTTATATAATAATGGGTTGGTTATGGTATAGTTTATATAATAATGGGTTGGTTATGGTATAGTTTAGATAATAATGGGTTGGTTATGGTGTAGTTTATATATTAATGGGTTGGTTAGGGTATAGTTTATGTAATAATGGGTTGGTTGTGGTATAGTTTATATAATAATGGGTTGGTTATGGTATAGTTTATATATTAATGGGTTGGTTAGGGTATAGTTTATGTAATAATGGGTTGGTTATGGTGTAGTTTATATATTAATGGGTTGGTTAGGGTATAGTTTATATAATAATGGGTTGGTTATGGTATAGTTTATATAATAATTGGTTGGTTATGGTATAGTTTATGTAATAATGGGTTGGTTATGGTATAGTTTATATAATAATGGGTTGGTTATGGTATAGTTTATATAATAATGGGTTAGTTATGGTATAGTTTATATAATAATGGGTTGGTTAGGGTATAGTTTATGTAATAATGGGTTGGTTAGGGTGTAGTTTATATAATAATGGGTTGGTTATGGTATAGTTTATATAATAATGGGTTGGTTATGGTATAGTTTATATAATAATGGGTTGGTTGTGGTATAGTTTATATAATAATGGGTTGGTTATGGTATAGTTTATATAATAATAGGTTGGTTATGGTATAGTTTATATAATAATGGGTTGGTTATGGTATAGTTTATGTAATAATTGGTTGGTTATGGTATAGTTTATATAATAATGGGTTGGTTATGGTATAGTTTATATAATAATGGGTTGGTTATGGTATAGTTTATATAACAATGGGTTGGTTATGGTATAGTTTATGTAATAATTGGTTGGTTATGGTATAGTTTATATAATAATGGGTTGGTTATGGTATAGTTTATATAACAATGGGTTGGTTATGGTATAGTTTATATAATAATGGGTTGGTTATGGTGTAGTTTATATATTAATGGGTTGGTTAGGGTATAGTTTATATAATAATGGGTTGGTTATGGTATAGTTTATATAATAATGGGTTGGTTATGGTATAGTTTATGTAATAATGGGTTGGTTATGGTATAGTTTATATAATAATGGGTTGGTTAGGGTATAGTTTATATATTAATGGGTTGGTTATGGTATAGTTTATATAATAATGGGTTGGTTATGGTATAGTTTATATAATAATGGGTTGGTTATGGTATAGTTTATATAATAATGGGTTGGTTAGGGTATAGTTTATATAATAATGGGTTGGTTAGGGTATAGTTTATATATTAATGGGTTGGTTATGGTATAGTTTATATAATAATGGGTTGGTTAGGGTATAGTTTATATAATAATGGGTTGGTTAGGGTATAGTTTATATATTAATGGGTTGGTTAGGGTATAGTTTATATAATAATGGGTTGGTTAGGGTATAGTTTATGTAATAATGGGTTGGTTATGGTATAGTTTATATAATAATGGGTTGGTTATGGTATAGTTTATATAATAATGGGTTGGTTAGGGTGTAGTTTATATAATAATGGGTTGGTTATGGTATAGTTTATATAATAATGGGTTGGTTAGGGTATAGTTTATATAATAATGGGTTGGTTAGGGTATAGTTTATATATTAATGGGTTGGTTATGGTATAGTTTATGAAGCGAAGTATAACCACTATAGAATTAAACACAACAGATATAAAAATACAAATGAAATATTCATGCATTATATCTTCTGACATCAGACTCGGACTTCTCTTGAACTGAATTTTAATGTGCGTATTGTTATGCGTTCACTTTTCTACATTGGCTAGAGGTATAGGGGGAGGGTTGAAATCTCATAAACATGTTTAACCCCGCCGCATTTTTGCGCCTGTCCCAAGTCAGGAGCCTCTAGCCTTTGTTAGTCTTGTATTATTTTTAATTTTAGTTTCTTGTGTACAATTTGGAGTTTAGTATGGCGTTCATTATCACTGAACTAGTATATATATTTGTTTAGGGGCCAGCTGAAGGACGCCTCCGGGTGCGGGAATTTCTCGCTGCATTGAAGACCTGTTGGTGACCTTCTGCTGTTGTCTGTTCTATGGTCGGGTTGTTGTCTCTTTGACACATTCCCCATTTCCATTCTCAATTTTATTATAAAGTTACATATTGAGTAAATATAAATGACCTATGGGCCATGAAAATGAGGCCAAGATTGAATGATATTGTACAAGGTATCACCTGGACAAAGTGTAGACTTTATATCGCGATGTCCATACAAATCATAGGAGCCTGATATCTTTCCATTATGTATTCCACACTGAATCAAGGACTTTGCAGCGTTTAAAGCAACAGTGTTTGGTGCACGGGTCATAAAGTTACCAATAAAGGATATACCATAACTACGACTGTTATAGTAATAATTCTTTGTGTGAGCTCCGATTCGGTCCCAACCTCTTCCCACGTATATTTTGCCATCTTCTCCAATCAAAAAGCTGTATCCAATATCATCATATCCTGTTAAAATGATAAAAATATTTGAATAAGATCGGACTGCATGATCTGATTTTGTTTTACGGATTTGTTAAAACAGATAACTTACTTAGTCAAAGTATACGTAACTGGGCGGTACTTCCATTTTTTATCGGACTTTGTATGCATTTATAACTCTTTTAACTGAATCTGACTTGACAAAATAATATGTTTATGTATATGTAGCATTTAAGTGTCAACACTTATTAAGGCACTAAACGTAATAAAATTAAAAAAAAAAACAGAAAAAAAGGCAATTTTAAACTTAAAATTGTGAGCAATCGAAATCCCGTCTACATAGTTTTGTCTAAAAATTATTTGTTATTGCAATGAATTTAAAGAAAAAAAATTATTTGGTTTTTAACAATAAGTCGCTTTATTGCACATCTGCTGTTTAAACAATTACTCAGATTACAGCATTGCTATGAGTTACTTAGAGTGCATTTCTTTCTAGCACAAACGATGCAAACGACTAAGCGCCCACATGTTTTGATCATTTGTTTCTAACATACGTTTGCAAAGTTTACATAAACTTTGACAAACTATGCACTCGCTAAAAATGCGTCTGCAGTTTGTCGTTTGTCGTTTGTTAGTACAAACGCTACATTTGTTTCTAACTTCAACCTTTAAAATATTAAAATCAATCGGGTCCAGGACCAATCCAGTATATCTTATTATAATCCTTCGTAATTCATCCATTTTCTATGTGCATATATAGAGTAATTTAGAGCTGGTATAACTCTGCGAATGATACATTTTTTTTCTTGTGGAATAAATTTTTCATAATTCATACTTACATGCCTGTAGTATTAGACTTATGTGTGTATTTTAAGAATAGAAATTCATATCTGGTATGTGTTTTTATTACCAGTATTACAAAGAGGTGTTTCGGTTATGGTCATGTAGTCCTAGGCCTATCCTCGTCAAGTATCCCTTATATTTTACCTTTCTTGTAATATTTTAGAATGGTTCGAACATGATTTCACTTATGGGGATACATCTGTTTACCAACAACACGTGCATGCATTATTGAAAGTTCAAAACAGGGTCAGAAAACACGGATTAAACGATGCATTTGTTTCTTCTTTTGTAGCGTTTAGCAAACGATAACAAACGCCACACAACGTTTACAAAATTTTGGTTAGAAAGAAACGCACTCTAAATTTCAAAGGAAAAATTGCAAGAAAAAGTAATTAGATGTTAGTAATAATTTTTTCATTCTTTTTAAAGTACAGTGTATAAGTATACAATTCAAAGGTAAAGATTATATGTTAACGGAACATCATCTTGCTCTCCGAATTTCGGCTCGCTTTGCAATGTTTATTTTGATCGTTGACACAATTACTTGAATTGTTGTGCCGGATTGGTAAACATGTTCATCATTTATGTACATACCTTAACATTTACATATATTTTTTAACATTTTTTGACTTAAGTTTTTGTGTCTTTTTTTCCATCAGATGCTATCTGTATATATATTCTTGTTTAAATATGTCATAAACATTTACCTGATTTGTCTTATTTTTTGAAATGCAATTACATTAATTTTGTACATAAGTGAATAAAATAAATGTAAAGAGACAAGTAATATTATTCAAGGAGTTGTCTTGTATTTTATATCCCACCACAAAATTTTTAGTTTATTATATGTTTATCAATATGAAATTTATTTATTGGAATACACATCTTATTCCTAAAATCTTTTTAAAAAAGTGCATTATATGAAATTATGTTGATGAGTTTTCTCTGAACCAGTACACATTTTAATTAAGGGGCCAGTTGAAACCTGCCTCCGGGTGCGGGATTTTTTCGCTGTGTTGATGGCCTTGGGCTGTTTTCTGCACTTTGGTAGGGTTGTTATCTCTATGACACACCCCCGTTTCCATTCTCAATTTTATTTTTGCAATATTGTTTTCCAATGATTTGGTATACTCTTTCTTATTTGTTTAATTTCAGCAATCTAATTTGTCTAACACTTTAATTTACTCTAGATTTATTCTTATGTGATTTTACTTTTATCATCAATTATGTCATTCATATACATTATATTTTCTTTTATCTAATGATTAAAGATTAGACTGTGCCCATTTTTTCTTAATTTATGTGTTGCCTCATATTATTTGTCGTGTAAATGTAAAAGTTTGACCGCGTCCATATCTTACCATGTTTTAAATATTTCAAATTAAAAATAAAGGAATTGTTTTTGGTAATTATTGTATTTTAGGCTATCCAGATTCGTGTGAATATTCACAAGATTTAGTCCGTACTGGTTCAAGTAAAATATTGATTACATGTTGTAAGTAGAAATCAATAAGTATCGATATGTTAACCAAAAAAGAACGGACAAAATAAATGTAAGATGCAAATTCTTACACGTATGTATCATGTTTTTTGCATACACAACTAAACTTTAAACGATTTATACAGCAAAAACGAATCTGGAAACCCCCTTATAATTTAATTTATTAAAAAATGAACGGATAACAGCAAGAACATAATACTGTAAATTCAGAAATTATTGCGTGCATTTATTATTGCGATTTTTAAAGATTGGACACAAATGCGAGATTTATCATAATTGCAATTCCAGGAAATCTGCATACAGATATATGTATCTGATATAAGAATGCAAGTTCTTATTATTGCGATACTCAATCAGTCCCATTATTCTCAATACTAAAAACCTCGCAATAATTTCTGAATTTTACAGTATTTGATCTGATTGTATTTCGAGATATATAGATGCTATCAATTGAATACTATCGACTTTTCAAACTGCATACAAAATTTCACCTGATCCGACATACCACTCAATTACGTATACATGTAACAGCCACTATGTTCCGTCAGTTACTTTGTTCCGGCGGATCTTTTCAACTAGTTATTTCGTTCCGATGGAACTTTCCAACTAGTTGTTTTATTCCGAGTGCAGTCGAAAAGTTCCGGAAAAAGGAACTTATCAACTAGCCACAAAGTTCCTCTTTGGCAAATAAGTCAAAACCGGAACTAACAAACTAGCCCAAAAGTTCCAACGGAACTTATCAACCAGTCACAAAGTTCCATTTGGAGAATTGATGCAAAGAACCACATGATGAGGGGGGTATTCTTCCCTCTCTTGAGGATACTATGAATACTAAATTTGCATGATAATGCAACTTATTCCGTTTTATGTGAGCTATGAAATACAACTTAAATTTTGCATATTTGTCCCCAAAGAAACCCCTTTCAGTGCGTTGGGTATTCTTGTAAATTAATGATTTGCTCTTATATATACTGATACTCATTATTCCCCCTCTTTCTACAAAAAGGACGAAATATGGTATATTCAGTATCTTGGTTTCCCTTTGAAAGGTTCAAATATAATATGTTGCGCTTTTACTTTGCATCAATTCTCCAAATGGAACTTTCTGCCTGGTTGATAAGATCCGTTGGAACTTTTGGGCTAGTTTGTTTGTTCCGGTTTTGACTAATTTGGCAAAAAGGAACTTTCTAACTAGTTGATATGTTCCGTTGGAACTTTTCAACTAGTCACTTTGTTCCGGTGGAACTTTTAAACCAGAGGAAGAACAAAGTAACTAGTTAATAAGTTCCTCCGGAACTTTTCGGCTAGTTAGTTCTTTCCGCCCGGAACTTTCCAACGTAGGAACAAAAGAGCATTTACATACATGGTATACTGTGCCTAAATACACAAGTCTTCATAAATTGTTTGTTGTGAACCAACTTTCCATTCATTAATCATTTATGGAATCCGATATATTTTATAATATTGTCGTACGAATATAATCTGAATAGTCTGCAAAACATAAATGCTTTTGACGCAGCAAAAAGGTATTTCTTTTTTCTTTTTCTGATATTTTTTTTTACCAAATTAAAACATTAGAGGGAATAAATCAAAGAGTAGTTTGCCTGTATCAGTCAGAAAACAAACAAATATGGTAAAGAAAAAAGGAGCATAGCATGAAATCGGAACAGCCGAATATCAAAATGTTTTTATTGTAAGCAAATACTGAATCCATACACAACCAGAGTATACAAAATAGCTTTAGATAGTTCGTTATAAAATAATGCCGTCATATCTTGTTCTGTCCATACAAATGAGAAATTTAAAAAACAAAAGAACCCTTTCCTTTAAAAATTATACTATGTGCTTATAAGAAACAAAATATTTAATTTATTGGATTTTAATGTTTTCCCATGTTCTCGAGTCATACAATAACATTTTTTTTTTTAGAAAATGAGTTTACAAACTTCAAAACATCAAGAAATTTCTGGTATTAGATTTAATAAATCTTACCTCTCGTATCCATGTGATAGTTTTGTATTTGTGTCATTCGTGTGATGCAAGCAGACGACGATGTACATGGATTGCCATCGGTGTGATGTATATATATGTTGGGTACGGGTACACTTATCACAGAAGAGCTACGTGCTGGTCTGGCTCCCCAGGTATCACGGGAGATAATCGTTATAGTGGTACAAGCATTACCTAAATTAAAATCAAATGGCAAATAATCAATATCTTTTTTGTATTTCTACTCTGGTTATTTTTGTTAAAAGAATATATGCGATCACCACTTTTACATAGATTAATATTTGGGAAAATATATTTATTATGAATAGTCGTAAATATTAGACTGTCGATGTATGTACGTTTTATTTAATATTTATTACATTAGTTGCAATGAATTACCGTGATTTCCAAGTGAATTAAAAACCGATAATTTCACATGTGAAATAAACTCGGTTGTTTCACTCCTCTGACGTCATACAACAATAGGTGTTGTCAAGACGTTGTCGATGACGTCGTATCAAAGCAACTTGTAAATGCGTAGAAAAAGATATAGTTCCTTACATTTTCTACTTTAATTCCATTTAAAAGCCCATTGCCAATGTAATAAAAAAAATAACTAATCAAAGAATTCAAATATCGAAAAATATTCAACTCGTGACCGACCAACACTGATAATAAACTCATGCGCTACGATATTTGAATTCTTCGATTAGTTATTCTATAAGTAAACCGTCTTTGTCGTATGTATATATATTTAGTAAGTGTTACGTCGCTCCATAATTACCTTACATTACGAAAATCAAACGAGAAATGAATACATGTTGTTATGTTAAAGAACATTAAACACTAAGCAATATGTACAGACATCCACTTATAGAGGTCCTTGGTGGGATATGGTTACATTTTTACATGATATTATTACGAACAGATAAAAATGTGTACATAAGTTGTTGTTTTTTGGGTTACTATAACAATTAGGAGATGTGTTATGATTGTCATTGAGAATATCCACCAATGTTCAAATGAAATGGATGAATTCAGTAATAGGCAACCGTACGGCCTTCAACAATGAGAAAACCCATACAGTATAGTCGGCTATAAAAGGCCCTGACATGACAAATATGAAACAATTCAATTGTGAAAACTAACGGCCTAATTAATAACAAAACAATTTACAAAAAACAAATATGACAGACATGAACTAACGACAACCACTGAACTACAGGCTCTTCACTTGGGATAGGCACATACATCATGTGGCGGGGTTAAACATGTTTGTGAGCACTCAACCATACCCCTAACCTGGGACAGTGTTGTAACAGCATAACATAAGAACAAACTATAAAAATCAGTTGAAAAAGGTTTAACTCATCAGATCGATACAAACAAAAACATCAAACAAAACCACAGACAGGACGTGGCAGGGTTTATATCCATCCCTCATCCCTATAACAACACAAAAAGACACCAAGTACAGATTTGAGAGTACTCGCAGTTACTGACAGCTAGTTCAAAGCCAATAACAACTATTAAAAAAAATCATGTATCTAAGACTAAAATATCAATCAGGACACATCCAATATCCAATGAATTTAGTGTATAGACGTCATTAACAGTCAGAGAAAAACATGACCTTGTGCAATGCCAAAATAAAGGTATCGACAGATTGCAGTACCGTGAAAGTACATATGTGCAATATTTAGTATGGTTTTAATTTACTGATAACAAAATCAATATTTTTACCAATAAAAACAATATTCAAATATCAAACTAACGCCACTCTTAGAGACCTTTACTGTATTATTGGCTGCTATTGTTAATAGGTGGAGGAAGCCGGTGAATCCGTTGGAAACCACTGATGTGCAAGGAAACAACTGGTAATCCTTTTCAATTAATATCGCAATCGAACATGCTTCTGCAAGAGCGTTGTTCAAACTCACAACCTCACAGTTGTCAGGCTATTGATTACTGTTCAAACTCACAACCTCACAGTTGTCAGGCTATTGATTACTGTTCAAACTCACAACATCACAGTTGTCAGGCTATTAATTCTGTTCAAACTCACAACCTCACAGTTGTCAGGCTATTGATTACTGTTCAAACTCACAACCTCACAGTTGTCAGGCTATTGATTACTGTTCAAACTCACAACCTCACAGCTGTCAGGCTATTGATTACTGTTCAAACTCACAACCTCACAGTTGTCAGGCTATTGATTACTGTTCAAACTCACAACCTCACAGTTGTCAGGCTATTAATTACTGTTCAAACTCACAACCTCACAGTTGTCAGGCTATTGATTACTGTTCAAACTCACAACCTCACAGTTGTCAGGCTATTAATTACTGTTGGTGAACAACCTCACAGTTGGCAGGCTATTAATTACTGTTGGTGAACAACCTCACAGTTGTCAGGCTATTGATTACTGTTCAAACTCACAACCTCACAGTTGGCAGGCTATTGATTACTGTTGGTGAACAACCTCACAGTTGGCAGGCTATTGATTACTGTTGGTGAACAACCTCACAGTTGGCAGGCTATTGATTACTGTTGGTGAACAACCTCACAGTTGGCAGGCTATTGATTACTGTTGGTGAACAACCTCACAGTTGGCAGGCTATTGATTACTGTTGGTGAACAACCTCACAGTTGGCAGGCTATTGATTACTGTTGGTGAACAACCTCACAGTTGGCAGGCTATTGATTACTGTTGGTGAACAACCTCACAGTTGGCAGGCTATTGATTACTGTTGGTGAACAACCTCACAGTTGTCAGGCTATTGATTACTGTTGGTGAACAACCTCACAGTTGTCAGGCTATTAATTACTGTTGGTGAACAACCTCACAGTTGTCAGGCTATTGATTACTGTTGGTGAACAACCTCACAGTTGGCAGGCTATTAATTACTGTTGGTGAACAACCTCACACTCAGAGTCACAGTTGGCAGGCTATTAATTACTGTTGGTGAACAACCTCACAGTTGGCAGGCTATTGATTACTGTTGGTGAACAACCTCACAGTTGGCAGGCTATTGATTACTGTTGGTGAACAACCTCACAGTTGGCAGGCTATTAATTACTGTTGGTGAACAACCTCACAGTTGGCAGGCTATTGATTACTGTTGGTGAACAACCTCACAGTTGGCAGGCTATTGATTACTGTTGGTGAACAACCTCACAGTTGTCAGGCTATTGATTACTGTTGGTGAACAACCTCACAGTTGTCAGGCTATTAATCACAACCTCACAGTTGTCAGGCTATTAATCACAGCCTCACAGTTGGCAGGCTATTAATCACAACCTCACAGTTGGCAGGCTATTAATCACAACCTCACAGTTGGCAGGCTATTAATCACAACCTCACAGTTGGCAGGCTATTAACCACAACCTCACAGTTGGCAGGCTATTAATCACAACCTCACAGTTGGCAGGCTATTGATTACTGTTGGTGAACTTTTACCCAAGGCAACAAAGATCCTGGATTCAATTAAAACAATTATAAATAAATGATACCCTATCATATTCCTTATACAAGCTAAAATGATGTACGCTGCTACAGAAATTGTGCCTTTTTACACTCTTAATAGTCTTATATCGGTCATTGAACCTCTAAATAGATTCCATACAGCAATGTTGTAACCAGTGGAGGATAACATGATATATGTAAATTGAACAATTATTGCAATAGTTTCACATCCGTTATTATTGTATCATTAAGTGAAATATTAATAAAGAGGATACTATGATACTGTTGATAACACTAAATAGCCGATTAAAATTCAGCTTCAACCCTACCTTGATCTCCATCACTGTCACCTTTACTACGTGTTCTAAAACACATGTTTACGCAGCTTGGATATATTACAACAAAGACTGTTGTCAATAAAAGTAGATGCATGTTGGTAAGTGTCAAATCAATCCGAGATATCAGGTAAAGCCACAACAGAACTTTGAACACACAAAACGTGTTCAGAACGTTTGATATAAACATCCGTAATCATGCACCGCCTTTTAAACTCATTGATGCACATATTTATATTTGATAATAATTTTATGTGATATTTGGTCAGCCAATAATCGTGCACGGTTTTGATAAGTGAGTCCTGTATAAATTCCCCTTTTAATTTTACGAAGGATTATTTTGTTTTCAACCATAAAAAAATACCCGTTAAAGTAATCTTTTAATACAAAACTAGTACAAACGAAGCGTAAAAGTGTAAACATTTTTTGGGTTTTTAAATAAATGACATAAATTGTATATCATTGATAAATCGGTGTGCTATCCCATAAAATACAAATTTTACCCTCGGATGAAATTAAACATAAGACTTTTATCCATTTCAACCCAAAACCCGGCGAGACTTACATTTGTTTATTTCAATATGTATCGCCATTAAAATTGAGTTACTATTTTTATCATTCCATTTTATCAGTTATCTATCTACAGTTGTTGTATGCATTTATTTTGGTAATATGACATCAATAAATATAAAAACTAGGTTATCTATTCACATGTTTGGGAGATTTTCCAACGTTTACTTTGACTAGTATCAATATGTCCAATTTCCATTAACCAGTGTCATCAAGTGGCACATTTCATGAAATAAACACTTTATAAATTGCGTGCGTTAGAAGCGCTCTTCAGCAAATACCTCTAACAGGAACCCTCAAACCTAAATATTGAAACCCAGAGGAGCTACAACGTTTGGAGCTATATGACCATAAAGGATCTAGACAGAAAAGTCAAATTCATCTAAGGTAAACTTAGCCTGAGGGAGTTGGAAATTTAGTTTCTTTACAAGTTCTTAATTTGCGAACGAGAATTAAACATGTTTTAAATACTAGATCAATATCGATATATGCCTTATTTAGTAAAAGTTTGTGTATCTACAGACTGTAAGTGTTATTTTGATAATATCTTTTAGGTTTGTTAAATAACCTTGAGTCTAATTCCACGCGAAAATGGTAATCTTATTATCTTATATAAAATTAAGAACACTCAATTAGACGTACATGCACACGAAAATATGTCGACATATTCATATAATGGTTGTCAATTCGACTCTCGGGAGTGAACCTGGATATCAAAGTTGTGTACAGGGTTTTATTTTTGTCTGAATAAAAAATAATACATAAAATTGATAACATTTTAGAAAGAAACAACAGACCAAATCAACCACCAGCACTTGACTCCTCCGACAAAATCGACGTTCAAACAGAGACTAATCATAACGAACAACACATGGGTCAGATTGCCTGCCTAGGTACTGGCAGGAAATGTTGTGCGGTTAAACAAGTTTTACGTGCGCACAAACCTCCCTGTTTCCCATCTAGACCATATGTCATAAAACTAAAACACAAAATGAAACAACATCTACAGTGCAGCTACCCACGGACTTATATAAGGAATTAAAACAAACGGAATAAAATTTAATATTAGAGTCAAGATGTGCTTGCTTCTTTTCAAAATAGGATGGGTTTATCCTTCTAAAGCATCTGAGATCACCCCAAGATTCTAATGAAGTTCGTGTCGCTCAGTGTTAAGTTTTCTATGTAGTGTTTTGGTGAACTTGTTTGACTATTCGTCGTTTTCGGTTTTTTCCATTGCGTTGTCAATTTCTCTCGACTCATGAGTTTTAAATGTCCCCTTGGTATCATCCGCCTGTATTTTACATGAAGCTAGCTTATACATATACAGCTGTTGGTTGGATACTACCGATCACGAAAACAAAATGTCAGAAACAACACTTTGTCAGAATGGGTTAAAGCAATCAGGTCTCTGATAAAACGTCGAATCCAAAAGTTGAAACACTGTGTGAATGATCGACCAAATTCCGTATTCAGAGACAAAGAAGTTGTGAAGTGTCTATCATTTCCTCGCGATGAATATATTGTTGTTCCTGCAGACAAAGCTTAAAATAATTTTGTTTTTGTGTGTAAATCGAACTACTACGAGTGTCTGGTAAAATATTAGGAATAAATGAGCACTCAGGTAATCACATATACAAAAACATATTATTTGACAAGGATGAGATTTTGTCGAATCATAAGTCCTTTATGGCTTCAATGAAAATTACATTGAACAGCAAATCTGAGGACTTACCTTGTTTGTATTGGAAACCTAAGCTTCACAAAATTCCGTACAAAAAACGGTACTTTGCCGGCTTATGTGCATCTTCTACAAAGGAATTATTACTTACATTGACAAAAAAAATATGTCCTCAGTGAAAGAAGGTATTCATGAAATCATGTTAAACTGTTTACTCGCGTAGTGATATTAACCATACGTGGATTCTAAAAAACTCTAAAGAATTTCTAGAAAATTTTAAATCGATTTTTCTCTGAAACTAATTCTACCAAAACCTTAGATTTTTCAACTCTTTATACCACAATTCCCCATGTGTAATTGCATAGCAGCATACGCTATAAATTTATTGCTTTGTGATACCATACGACATACTTGGTTATTACACCAAGGAACCAGTGATCAGTATGCTTGAGTGTCTTTTTGACATCATATTTTTTGAATTTGAAGGTAGACGTTTTCAACAAATTGTCGGCATTCCTATGGGAACGAGCTGTGCGCTTCTCCTTACCGACCTCTTCTTGTTTTCATATGAGTCGGAGTTCCTTCAGACACTTGTCAAAAACAAGAAGATCAAAGAAGCCATATCATTTAATTTCACATTCAGATATATTGATGATGTTCTTTCCGTTAACAATCCAAAATTTTCTGATTGGGTTTCATTAACATATCATCTAGAACTAGAAATTAAAGAAGTAATAGACAGGGCTTCCTCCACCTCATTTTTAGACTTATACCTCAAATTTGTATAAGCAGTCATCTCAGTACCAGAATCTATGACAAGCAAGACGATTTTAGTTTTGAAATTATAAATGTCCTCCACCTTAGAAGCAATATACCAAGTTCACTTGCATATGGGACATACATTTCCAAACTCATTCGGTATTCAAGAGCTTGCAGCCGCTACTCAGACTTTATAAAACGTCACCAGTGTCTGGGCAGAAAATTGATGAACCAGGGTTATGTCAAAGAACGTCTCGTCAGTAGTATTACAAGAGACGTTTGGGGAATCCATCTAAGAGTCGAGTTATGTAACAAGAGGTAACGAGATCATAAATAAAGACGGACGCAATAACCGGAACCGAGGAGGAGGGGTGAAGAAGGGAGCCACACCCCCCCCCCCCCCCCCCCCAAAAATAAAGATAAAAAAAAAAAAACGAAAAAAACCACAAAGTTCCCAATGAACAACAATCTATCAAAGGGTACGAGTTATAAAATCAACTATACGATAAGGTAGATAAAAAAAGTATTATTATTATATATGTCTTATATCTACAAATTGAACAGACACAACAATACACAATATATTAATAGGATACGAATAATAAAATCAACAAATACGATAAGGGGGAAAACAAAAGATGATTCTTTATGTCTTATATCTACAAATCGGACAAATAGATATTTTTATTTCTTTATTTAACCTTTAATTATTTTAAATGTATTAATTATTTTATGATTGCAAGTTTATGACCCCTTAAGTGTTATATCATAAATATCGAACAGATAATGATTTTATAACCTTATTTTACCTTTGGAGATTTAAAAGCTATCAATTACGTTACGATAATACTTTTATTACTCTATATGTGTGCAATAGTAGCCTATCTATCCAGTTAAGGAGTTTATAAATATAAATAGAATTATGTAAATTAAACAAATGAAGTATCCATCTCTCGAGTTAAATCGTGTTTAAACAATTCAAATAAATCCATAGGATTAAAACATATTCTAATATATGTCGCTGGACTTACAAAATCAATCAATCAAATTCTTATACAGAATCAATCAAACATGTATGTATAACATCAGATACTTTCATAATTTACTTATTATAAACCATATATATCAATTTTATATCGATCTTTACATCATTCTTTAGAACTGAAAAATCTCTCTAATGCTTTCAGATTTGAGATCTGATTCAGGACTTGAGACCTGCTACATTTAAGTGTAGGTGGTTTATGACTTTTCTTGCTTTTTTTTTTTTAATTCTGTTTTCTTTATTTCGTTGAGGCGATACACATTTATCCATTCTTTTTTTATTGAAACTGAGCAATGATTTTTTTTTCGTTGTATTGTAAGTCATCTGTCGAAAATTCCTTCATAATATCCGACATATCAACACCTCGACATCGCCTTTTTTTACGTAATAAGCACAATACAGTCCACACATTTCCGAATCACTGGGTTCTATCTAACAAGGGGAATAACGAATTTTGGTCCGTTTGTAACCAGGACATTTCTAAAACTTCGTTGTTGGTCCGGAAATGGTCAAAGAAAAGGGTGTTGAAAACGAAATTTCGTCTTTTTCTTGAATCATCGATGTCTTCCCCTTTCCACTCATTTGGGTGGAGGGGACCGGTGGCGCCACCCCACTGTTTGATCGGAATGGAGACATCACCATTGTCTAAGCATTTTGTCTCTTCTCGAGAAAACTCGTGGACATGTCGGACAAGACATAATGGTGTGCATTTTTATAAAGATGACTGTGTTCTTATGAACGAACGAGAAACATGATCGTTTTATAGACGACCTGATTTCGACATCGGCCAAAGATTCCCGAATTAATGGTTTATTTACCGAAGGGACCCATCACAGAAATTTATCGGTAGTGGTATTAAATCAAAAATTTTATTTTGGTAAAGACCCTATGCAGAGGCAAAACTGTCATTACCTCGTACTCTTTAACAATCCCGTAGATCGACTACCAATCATGACTCTCGGACGATTGATGTACCCGTCTCAACCGGATTTCTTTTTGCGAAAGTTTAAAGAGGCTACACAGAAACCGTTCGATTTTTTTTTTGGTTGAATTGAAAGCGAAAACCCCGACATCGTTGAGACTGCGCATTACTGTTTTGCTAACAGGTGGAAGACTCGATATCCCTACCACACCCACGACTCGTGACGAAACCA